TTTGTACAGTCATCTTGAGTCACTCTTGCTCCAATATTTATCCACTAATCCATGATCCTGTACTTAGTCCTAATAAACTCATTAATCCAATGAAATATACCTCAGTGAATCATTTTTTGACTTGTCATTGGTGCTCTTCCTGGGATCAACATGTTTGCTAACACCTACTGAGAAAGTCACACAATCTACAGACACACTACCAATCATTGAATTGTTTTATACTGATGTGATAAAACCCCACAAGCAAAAGCTAACTGGAGTAAATGGTTTATTTGGATCACATGTCTTACATAATTCCAGAACAAAATACACTGAGGGAAGCAAAGGCAGGAAACTGGAGGCTGGACCTGCAGCAGACACCATGGAGATTCACCACACACTGTATTGTTCCTTATTCCTTGTTCATCCTGCATTTATACACTTTAGAATGGCCTGCCAAGAATTGGCACCACCCACAGTTGTCTGGGCCTTCCCACATCAACCATGAACCAAGAAAATGCTCAACAAACTTGCCTATAGGAAATCACATGGGTAAATTTTGTCATTTCAGAGTCCCACTTCTCCAATGACGATAGCTTGTGTCAAGTTGACAAAACACCAACTATTACACTACCCAAATATACTGTTTTGCATTTTCCTGAATGGACTGTAAGAGGCAACTTTGTCTGTCTGTCTGTCTGTCTGCCTGCTGTTTTGAAACAGGGTCATGCTAGGTATCCTTCATCTTGTGATCATCCAGCCTCAGCCTCCAGAGGATTAAGATTACAGGGACTGTCAGCATCCTACAGATGAAATCTTATATGAAGTCTCCCTAATTCAGGTTCTCTTCCAAGAGTGCAGAAGGTCTAAGTGACCAAAAAAAGTAAAAATCAGATAAAGCGGATTGGAGAGATGGCAGCATTATTTGCAATAGACATAACCTGGAAGCAACCTAGATGCCTCTCAACTGAAGAATGGATAAAGAAAATGTAGTACATTTACACAATTGAGTATTACTCAGTGGAAAAAAAAAACAATGGAATCTTGAAATTCGCAGGCAAATGGATGGAACTAAAAGAAACCATTCTGAGCCAGGTAACCCAGTCACAAAAAGAGAAACATGGTATGAACTCACTCATATATGGATTTTTGACATAGAGCAAAGGATTGGCAGCATAGGCTGCCTATAATCCACACCTCCAGAGAAGCTAGGAAACAAAGTGGACCCTAAGAAAAACATATACAGTTCCCTGGAGAAGTGAAAAGGGACAAGATTTCCTAAGCAACTTGGGAGCATGGGGGAGGGGAGAGGGAGTTATGGGAAAGAGAAGGGAGAAGAGGAGGGAGTGGAGGACATTCGGGAACAGGAAAATTGATTTGGGGGAAGAATAGAGGAGAGCAAGAAAAGAGATAGCTTAATAGAGGGAGCCATTATAGGTTTAAAGTGAAATCTGGCACTAAAGAAATGTCCAGACATCTATTAGGATGACACCAACTAACAATCTAAGGCTATCTTAAATACCCTTCCCTATAATGAGACTGATGGCTACCTTATATGACATCCTAGAGCCTTCATCCAGTAGCTGATGAAACAGAAGCAGAGACCCACAGCTAAGCACTGAGATGAATTCCTGGAATCCAGTTGTAGAGAGGAAGGAGTGGCGAGCAAAGGGGCCAAGTCCATGCTGGGGAAACCCACAGAAACAGCTGATCTAAACAATGGGAGCTCATGAACCCCAGACTGACAGCTTGGAAAGCAGCATAGGACAGAACCAGGCTCCCTGCACGTGGGTGTCAGTCAGGAGGGCCTAGGCCCTGCCCAAAAGGAGGTGACAGACTTTGATGATCCTCTATAGAAGGCCTCACCCTTTCTATGCAGCAGAAGGGGGATGGGATGGGGGTCAGTGGGGGCATGGGAGAATGGGGGTGTGAGGGAACTGGGATTGATATATGAAATAAGATTGTTTCTAATTTAAACAAAGAAAGAAAGAAACGAAGGATCTCCCAGATACATTAAAGGGAATACAAAAAATGAAAAAAAAAAGTGTGGTAGTACACGCATGTATTCCCAGCATTCAGCAATATGAAGAAAAAGGAACACTAAGTTTGAGCACAGTCTGTGCCTCATTAAGTGAGTTCCAGGGTACCCTCACCTGCATAATAAACCCTGCCAGGAAAAATAAAAAGTAAATCTCAGGTGAAAAAATGTGGAATTTGAGCACCACTAGACATCATGTTAAGAAAACACCTCCTTTCATTCGTGAAATTTAAACAGAAGGATTCTTGGTCTCTTCTGAGAGTCCACCCATGATCAACTGAGAACTTTTCAAAGGGGAACTGTTCCTTTTGCCTATGGAGCACAAGATGTAGAAATCCTGTGGTCAGGGACTCAGACTTCACACATCCTGTGGGTCCTACTGTCTCTCAAGAATCTGCTGTCTGCAAATGCACACAGACGGGAAGCTAACTGGACTAAGGTCATATCAGCACCATGGCTCCACAGGACATCACCTTGCTGTGTCTCGGTGAGTTATGAAATGAAAGTGGGTTAGCAAGAAAGACAGGACTCCCACAAAAGCTAGACCCCCTCTTAAAATGAAAGCTAGGTGACGTTTAGTGGCAGTCAAGGATAGTCAAATCTCTTTACCATTCTGTTGAAATGACTGTAACTGGGTCTCAGTTAGCAACTGAGCTGTGGGCCTTGCCTGCCTCTATTCAACCCATGGCACACTGTCTGGGTTCCATGATGACTGCTAGGCATCATGAGAGAAAAGACAGAGGGACCAAAAATGTAAGGGTGACCCTCAAGGCTGTGGTTATTTTGGGAAAAAAAATCCTTACAGATATGCAGACATACATGTGAAAGCTAGAGCTAGGTAGAAGAAATGATACACCACAGACAAAACTAGATGATCTATAGAAGAAAGGTGATAAATAAATGATTGAAACTGACTGGAAGATAGATTGCAGATAATAGATAAAAGATAATCAATACGTAATAGCTATGTGGGTGGATAGAGAGAGATGATGAACACATAAGTATAAACATATATGCATGCATGCATATATAATAGACAGGTAATAGATGTTAGAGAGTTAACTAAAAAATTAGTATAAATAACAGCTATGTAAATAATATTTAGAGGTAGGTAGATAAATAGACACACACACACACACACACACACACATACACACACACACA